TGTCTTCTAAAAGTTCATGGAAATATTATTCCCCCCCCCCAAAAAAAATCCACATGAATTTCAAATATTTTGTACCAAATTAAACTCATAATTCCATTTTTCTACTTTTTTTTTTTTGGTGGACACTCCACGTTCGTATCTTGAAAGATTTAAATTTTGTTAAAATGAGAATAGTTCCCATATTAATCTACAGAAAGTGAGAAATTACCCCCCAGTGGTGGGGTGAAATCCCTTCTCTATTCTCCTCTTGGGAATTTGGTCATGCATGGACACATGCCTGGCAAGAGTTTTAAGTCTCTGGGTCTGGAACTTGAACCTTGGTCGACCAGTAGTCCACAACATAACTATTACACATCCTTACCAAATTCCCAACTGGTTTCTTTTTGTAAATTTTAAAGTTTAACTTAAAATGAAAATGGAAATAAAAGGAACCCTAAATGGTCAAAACAATCCTGAAAAACAACAAAGTAGGAAGACTCATGCTTCCTAACTTCAAAACTTACCCCAATACTACTGTAATCAAGACAGTATGGTACTGGCACAGGAGTATTGTACATTTTAAAATTTTCTGTATATTGGTATTTCTATGTCTTTAAAAAGTTTCTTGGCTGTTGAGAAACTGCCTCTTCTGGACCTGGCCTTTTCTTAAAAGATAAGAAGATTCCTTCATCTTAATCATCCCAGGGCCATGTGCCAAGCAATTAGAAACCACTCCCATAATACAAAAGCTGCAGAAATCACTCAAACTAACAAATCTCAAACTTAGGTAAGCTCTGCCCTGCTTTGCCCTTCGTGAGAAAACCCCAAATACAGCAATAGCTAAACATTCCTCCCCCAGTCGCGTTTCCTGCATCCTAAGCACGCTGATGTCTTCCCCACGTGGCCCGCAATGGACTGGCTAGTCTTTCTCTAGGACTTGCGGATACCAAAAACTGTTTTCCTGAGCCTCTCCAGGTTCTTTTTTGTGGCTGCACCTAATGGACTATTACATAAAAGACACGTTAAGGACACATATGTTATCAGTGGAGCAGAATTACAAGTTCACAGATGAGCGCTATTTTACTTATCTGTGACAAGTCAACCCAGAAAATTTAATGATGAAATAATGGTCTCTTTAACAAAGAGTGATAGGAAATAGACAAATGCAAAAGAATGAAGCTGGCCTCCTATCTCACACCATATACAAAAACAAACTGAAAATACATTGAAGACCTCTAAAACTCTTAGAAGTAAACATACAGGGTCAGCCTTCTAGCCTGGTGGTTAAGAGAACCAGATACCGCATGGTCAACCACAAAGTTCACGTTCTGGCTTTGCCAGGGCATGCCAAAAACTCAATGGGATGGAGAAAAAGCGACAGTACTGAAGAATGACCATGCCCCCTTGGGATACATGCTTTCTCCCTCTCCCGCTCCATATCTTACTAGCATGTAGACCCTCTAGCAATTAAAAAATAAATTCTTTTCAGGCCGGCTGGTGGCATAATGGTTAAGACAGATGATTCCCATATGTCTGACTCCATGGTTCATGTCCCAAATCAGGTGGCTTGAAAAACATGCTGAGGATGTGTGCATGTGAGATCAAAATCCCAAGAGGAGAGATGGAGAAGGGATTGCAGAATAGTTATCCCCTCTAGGGGTTGATTTCTCATTCCCTCTGACTGTCTCTTACAAGCATACATACTCTGCCGGAAATAAAAAAATCTTTTCTTACCATTGTACTGTGTCCTGAGGCAATCTCAAAAGATCATTTTGTTTTCATGCTACCAATATAGATTATGATTTATGACCTGGAAGGTTACAAAATGATCACTGTTTCAAAGTTAACCTCCTTGAAGTTCTACAAGTTACTATGGGACCAGTCACAGAGGTAACGGGGGTAGTGAGGCACCGCTACATGATACTAGAGTCTTATATAAGAAGCTCTAGGTTTGAATCCCGGGTCCACCTGAACACACCCAGGGTACTCGTGATCCTGGTTTAAAGGCAGGGAGAACTGCGGCATAATGAGACTCTGTCAGGGGTGCCCTCCATTCTCTCTCTCAATAAATAAGTGCTTTTTTATATAATTATTTTATTTAACTGTATTTATTTATTTTATTTTGACCAAAGAGGGACAGAGCAAGAGACAGAGAGAAAGTAAGAAAGCAAGCTTCCAGGTCTGGGACTCAAACTACAGTCAGCCACATGGGAGTCCAGCACCCTAAACCACCACACCACATGCTGGCCCCATTTTTTTTTTGTAAGAGAGATTTTTGCTATAGGACATGTGTACTCATCAGAGAGTGACAGAGAGACATAAAGTGAGAAATTACCCCCCAGTGGTGGGATGGAATCCCTTCTCTATTCTCCTCTTGGGATTTTGGTCATGCATGGACACATGGCCTGGCATGAGTTTTTAAGTCTCTGGGTCTGGGACTTGAACCATGGTCGACCAGTAGTCCACAACATAACTATTACACCAGCTGCCAGTCCCTCAATAAACTTTTAAAAAATGATAGAAATGTGGGCTATTCCTAACACAACAATTCAGGAAGACAAATTCCATATGGCCCAACTACAGTTCAAATTCCAATCCTGTGGCTTGAGAAACATGCCAGGCACATGTGTATCCATGTCCAAAATCCTGACAAGAGGGCAGAATGGAAAGAAAAAGGACTGTGGTATTACCATACCCACTGGGAAGGTTTTCTCTCTCTTGTAAGGGCATGCTTGCTCCCTCTGGAAAGTTAAAAGAAAAAGAAATGTTCTTAAAAAGTTAAAATTTAGGGGGCCGGCAGGTGGCATGGTGGTTAAGGTGCTGGACTCCTATAAGGCCTACCACGGAATGAGAGTCTCTGCCAGCTTGAAAATCACATCAGGCACGTGTGCATGCATGCCCAAAATCTGGAGAGGAGACTGGGGCAGAAGGGATTGTGGCACTGCCATCCCCTCGGGGGGGATTTCTTGCTTTCTGTCTCTCTGTCTCTGTCTGTCTTTCTGGTGAGTGTACACTCCCTGTAGCAAAAACCTCTACAAAAAAAAGGAAGAAAAAGAAAAACATGAATTTGAAAATGCTCTACTAAGTAATTACAAAAATATGAGACCAAAATTGTTTAAGAAGTATCTCCTATACTTGTGCATTTTTTACTCACTATACTGAAGTCAAGTAACTTCAACTCAGTTTTCTGTGGTTTAATTCAGTTCTCAAAAGCATTTAGTAAACTTTCGTATTGCTTGTGTTAAAAATAGATAGCAGTTTCCTATATAAATTAACACATTCTTAGTGCTCTCTTTAAAAATATAATTTCCAGAACCAGCAGTTGGCATAATGGCTATGTCACTTGACTCCCATCACAGTCGATCACAGTTCGAGTTCTGGACCTGGTGGCTTAAATTCATGCCGGACATGTGTACGTACGTGCCCAAGATCCTGAGAGGAGAATGGAGGAGAAGGGATTGCTACGTGGCCATCCCCCCCAGGAGGTGATTTCTTGATTTCTGTCTCCCTCTGTCTTTCTGGCGCCCTATAGCAAAAACCTCTCCAAAAAAAAAAAAATATCCAGGTTTTGGGCCAGCAGGTGACGTGGTGGTTAAGGGTACTGGACGCCCATGTGGACAACTGCAGTTTGAGTTCCGGAGGTGGTGGCTTGCTTTCTCACTTTCTCTCTCTCTCTCTTACTCTGTTCTCTGACCAAACTGAAAACAATTTAAAAAAAAAAGAATAAAGTTAAATAATTATTTAAAAAAATAACTCATTTAAAAAAATATAATTTCCATGTTCTATATAAACTATCACCAAATGTTCAACACCTTTATGATGGTAACTTTGGATCAATACAGGAAAGATTTTGTAAAAATTACAAGTCTGTGCCCTCCATGAAAATTCAAGCTCCTGAGTGTTCAGCAACAGCCTAAGTAAGAGAAACAAATCCTTTAATGGCCACTGTACCCTGTAGGTGCTGCAAGATAGCATTACAAAAGCAGTATTCTAATTCACATAGTTAAATTTTTTACTATTTCTAGTATCTTATCTCACCTATTTCACCCCTGCCAAAGAAAACGGAAGAGTTTGGCAACTGTTAAGTAACTTAAAGAAGTCGTTAGTAGGCGCTGCTCCACGTTTTTACATTACTCAGCCATTATGTCGTAAAAACTCAACAGCCTAGTCATTACAATTAAATGAAGCATACCATGGACATTAAAGAACCATAAGTTTTTTTTTTTAAATGTAAATGACACTTTTTACTAACTGGATACTAGATACTATCAGTTATTCCTTTTATTTCATGAAACCTGCTGCCACAAAAGTGTTCATCAGTTATATCTATCACTGACCTTTTCCATTTTTATTACTCTCACTTATTACTAATTTACAATTATTATGAGTCAAAGCTAAATAAATGTAGTGAGAGAAGTTTAACTAAAAATCTTTTCCTTATCCACCAGTTAATTTCAAAAACTAACTATAAGGGAAAAAAAAAACACGAGATTTTAAACCTAATATATAAGAAACAATGCCTGGAAATAAAAGCAAAATTCACTTTTCTATTCAAATGATCTTTCTAACTTAACACCAACATTTAAGTGCTAATTTTCTAATTTCATAAAACAGAAAGGTATTGGGCCAGCCTATGGCATGCAGGTTAAGGTAGTTGGAAGGTAGATACTACAGGGCCAACTGTGAGGTCTGAGTATCAGGCCAAACAGTTTGAAAATCATGCCAGGAGTGTGTGCGCGCATCGTGCATCCCCAAAATCCCGAGAGGAGAATGGTGGAGAAGAGACTGCAGTGTGGCCATCCCCCTAAGAGAGTGATTTCTCATTTTCCCTCTCTCTCTCTCCAGTGAGTACATGTGCCCTACAGCCAAGCTGGGGGAGTGGGGGAGAGAAGGGTACTATTAAACATTACTAGAATAGGCAAAATGATGAAATCGTAGCATCTTACTTACATGAAAATCTTTCTATAACAATTATGTTAGTAAAAAGACTGTAACAAAACTGAATAAATACCAAATTTTACCTTTTCTGTATTGTAATATAAAGATTTCAAAGTAGTAAACAAGGGTGGGCAGCCTTTACTGAAGTTAACCCTCAGGAATTTATCCATTAGTTCTCTAAATTTTTCACCTGGAAACAAAAGTATACTTCATTATACTCTGATACAAACAATTCTTAAAATGAATTTATGATTAAAAAAATAAAGATCCCTCAGAAATAATTATCCCCTTATCCAAATATTAAGTCCCAAGAAAGTCAGCATTATTTCCTCCTGACCAAAAAAGTATAACACCAAGTACCTCAGTTGGCAATTGTATTTTTCCTTAGATGTAGGAACAAAATATCAAGGAACAACTCAAAAGACAGGTAAACAAAATGACTATACAGCTTTAAGCAGAGTAAAAGGGAGCTTCTTTCCAGTAAATATAGCCACTAAAGTAAGTGCATCTTGCCTGATACCTCCCTGACCAGCACAGTCCTGCTGTCTATAGCTCAAATCCTGCAGACAACTCAGAAAGCCTCTGCAGCAGACTACTGGGCCCAGCACGAGGGTTAAGTACTAACCAGAAAAGCTTTTTAAAAACTAAAGCAGTATTGGGACCAGCAGTTAGCGTAATGACTATGTCGCTGGACTCCCATGTAGTCGACCGCAGTTCGAGTCCCAGACCCGGTGGCTTAAACTCACGCTGGGCGCGTGTGCGTACGTGCCCAAGATCCCGAGAGGAGAATGGAGGAGAAGGGATTGCGGCGTGGCCATCCCCCCTGGGGGGTGATTTCCTGCTTTCTGTCTCTCTGTCTCTCTATGTCTGTCTGGCGAGCGCATGCGCCCTATAGCAAAAACCTCTCAAAAAAAAAAAACTAAAGCAGTATTGGGGCCAGCAGTTAACGTAATGGCTATGTCGCTAGACTCCCACGTAGTCGCCCGCAGTTTGAGTCCCGGACTGGGTGGCTTAAACTCATGCCAGGCGCGAGTGCGTGCGTGCCCAAGATCCCAAGAAGAGAATGGAGGAGAAGGGATTGCGGCATGGCCATCCTCCCTGGGGGGTGATTTCTCACTTTCTGTCTCCCTGTCGTTCCCCGTCTGTCTGGCAAGCACACGCGCCCTATAGCTAAAACCTCTTAAAAAAAAAAAAAAAAACTAAAACAGTATTTACAAATGTTTTCCTTCATTGCCTTGTGACTAACTTCAACATTCATTCATCCTACAATCATGGACCAAGCACCTACTAAGTGCTAGGTACTGTTTTGAGTATCAGGAATATTGTAATGATTATAAGACACACAAAAAAATGTTAAATCCTGCCCTCATTGAACTTAATGCAATAGAGAATGAGCACAACAGTAAAAGTAAAGTAAACATACGTTAGACATTAGACTGAGCTGCGGGGCATTCTAACATCAGAACTAAATAAATATCCTATTTGCAACATCAAGTAAATAATTTTCCTATTATTCCTAAACGCTTACTAAAATTTTTGTCATCACCTTTTAAAGGCAGAAAATATTGAAGGGATTTTAAGTAAAAAGACATATATAAATATTTAACAGTATTTACATAAAGACAGGAATTTACCTAATCATTAAAAAGACACACAAGTCACGATTAGCCTAAAGTAAAAGATTTTGAAATGACCTCCAACAGTTTCTTTATGCATTATGACTCTGCACAACAAAACCCAACATCCCAAATTAGTTATTTCTTTTTTTTTTTTTTTGGAGAGGTTTTCGCTATAGGGCGCGTGCGCTCGCCAGACAGACAGAGAGAGACAGAGAGAGAGAAAGAGAGAAATCACCCCCTGGGGGGATGGTCACACCACAATCCCTTCTCCTCCATTCTCCTCTCGAGATCTTGGGCACACACACACGCGCCCAGCGTGAGTTTAAGCCACTGAGTCCGGGATGCGAACTGCAGTCGACTACATGGGAGTCCAGTGACATAGCCATTACGCTAACTGCTGGTTCCCCCAAATTGGTTATTTCTATTTGTTATTTCTGCCTGTGCTGTACAAAACATACATATTTATTCTAACTAGATGGCATAAAACTTTGAAAGAAAAATTTAACTCAATTTACTACATGAAGATCATTTTCAATTTACTGTGACAACACAAAACTTCATCCTAGATTAAATACACATTATTAGTTCCTTAAAAATGGGTAGTTTCAGAGATCAAATCTTTCATTCACTTGTTCTGGTATAAAGCAAAAGTTAACATTATTATTATAGATGGTAAGAAATGCTGTTCCTTAAAGAAATTATATTACTCCACTTTGTGTGTAACCTAGGACAAATAAAATATGCAGTAAAAACTTTGGTTTCTCCACTGTAAAATCAGAGTAACACCATTATTAGCTGCAAGAGGACTCTTGTGTGGCTCAAACAAGATTTTAAGTGTATCACAGTGAGAAGTGTCTAGCAAATATGTAGTAATCACTTAATAAATATTGTCTATCTCTATGTGCTCCAAATATAATAGCTAATGGCTATTGTATTTCTAGACTTAAGATTTTGTTTTTTGTATGTGTTACTATCACTGAGAAAACAAGCATTTTTATCTTCATATCAGAACCTACTATGAACTTCTCTTCTTGGTCTATTCCAATCATACATGAAGACTTCATTTAAAAGACAATGTATTCAGCTCTCATTTATCTATAATATTGAAAGCTTCTTTTCTTCTTAAAGTGCTGAGACTATACAAATATGAGAAAGAATCAGAAAGCTCTTATATGCTGATACAGGATTGATCTCCAAATACAAGAGTTAAGGATGAAAAGAACCCCAAGGTACAGAACAATCTACACTACTATTTTATTTTTTTGGAGAGGATTTGCTATAGAGCAAGTGCACTCCAGAAAGAGAGAGAGAGAGAGAAAGCGAGAAATCAAACCTCCCCCCCCTCCCGCCAGAGGGGATGTCCATACCACAACCCCTTCTCCTCCCTTCCCCTCTCAGGATCTTGGGAACGCACACACACGCACCTGGCATGAGTGTAAGCCACTGGGTCTGGTACTCGAACCTAGGTCAACTACATGAGAGTCCAGCAACATAGCCATACACCAATTGCTGGTCCCCTACACTATTTTTATAAATAAGGAGTAAAAAAAGAAAAGCTGAACACCAATCTCCCACAACATCTTTGCTTATATATATATACGCACAATGAATTTCTGGAAGACACCATAAACTGGCAATAATGGCTGTCTTGAGAAATGTACACTTGGTGGCAAAGGGACAAAGGACAGGAAAAAGATTTCACTTCATGCCCTTTTAATTTGGAACTGTATGAATATATTATCGAAACAAGAAGCTTTCAACTTTTCAGTCACACACCATAACTTTTCTTTTGGATATTAAAAAACTTGGTCACAAAATCAAATTATCTCCCTTCTTCCTAATTATTTTGTAATATCTATTTAGTACCCCCAGGGGTAAGGTCATCAGTTTTTACATGCCTGTTTAAACATTACATAGCTCATACAACAAACCTGTATCTGACTGCACAGATATAATGCTTCATTCTTCTCTAGATGTATAGTGTGGACTCACATAAAAATTGATGTTCCAGGACCAGCAGATGGCACAATGGTTACATAGCTGGACTCCCACCAGTCAACCATGGTTCAAATCCCAGACCCTGTGGCTAGCAACATGTGCATGCCCAAGATCCCGAGAAGAAAATGGAAGAGAAGGGATTATGGTGTGGCCATCCTCCTTAGGGGGTGATTTCTCGCTTTCTGTCTCTGTCTTGCCGGGGAGCATGTGCACCCTATAGTAAAAACTCTTTTCAAAAAAAAAAAAAAACTTTGTTACAATAGCATAAACAAGGGGACCACAGATGACATAATAGTTACATCGCTGGACGCCCACATAGTCAACTGCAGTTCGAGTCTCAGACCTGGTGGCTTAAATTCATGCCAGGTGCATGTGCATGCGTGCCCAATACTGAGAGAAGGGACTGTGGCATGACTGGGGGTTGATTTCTTGCTTTCTGTCTGTCTCTGGTGAGCTTACACGTCCTATAGCAAATCTCTCAAAAAATAAATAAATAAATAACAGAGGGGCGGGCAGGCGGCGTGGTGGTTAAGGGTGCTTGACTCCTACATGGCCAACCACAGTCTGAGTACTGGACCTGGTAGCTTGCTTTCTCGCTTTCCCATCCTCTCTCATCTCACTCTGTCCCTCTCTGGTCAAATTAAAATAAATAAACAAATAAATAAAGTTAAATAAAATAATTCTTTTTTAAAAAAGGAAAAAAACAGTATAAATAACAAGATAAGATTCACTGAAAATCCATTCCAAATAATAGAAGGAAATTAAATTAGCAGTCTATGTTTAACAGTCTGGATTACCTCCTTCCCTCTCTCCACCTCTCACTCAGTGAATAATAACAGAATATGATGAATTAAACTAGCTGTTTTATCCCTCCATTATTTTCACAGGACTTATAGTTTAGGGTGCTGGAGAATTTCCTCAGGATTTCTGTTATGCTCACTGCTCTGTAGGTATGAAGCCTTTTTTATCTAAACACTGAAAAGTCTTTTTCAAACCTTTCACTTATTCTGAAGTTCAAATAACCTTTAAAAAAAAATCTTACAGTTTTCGATAATGCCAAGATGACATTTTTTTTTTGGAGAGGTTTTTGCTATAGGGCGCGTGCACTCGCCAGACAGACAGAGAGAGACAGAGAGACAGAAAGCGAAAAATCACCCCCCAGGGAGGATGGCCATGCCACAATCCCTTCTCCTCCATTCTCCTCTCAGGATCTTGGGCACACACGTACACGCGCCCGGCGTGAGTTTAAACCACCAGGTCCAGGACTCGAATTGCGGTCAACTAAGTGGGAGTCCAGCGACATTGCCATTACGCTAACTGCTGGTCCCAAAATGACATTTTTTAATTGCACAATTTCTAGAAAGGCACAAAGTCATTAACATTTGGCTTTTGCTAAATTATTTGCACAGCTTTTTACATGGAGCTCTGTAAATAACACGTATACCAGAGATGCACAGTGATGGTCACCTTGATGCCTATGCCTTCACTCAACTGGGGCCTACCATGTAAAAAGATCTTAGCATTTCACAGACAGAATGTCTTGAAGGGTCCAGCATGGTTCCAATTCAACCTAAACCACACTCTGTAAATCAGTGAGTTGGTTCCAGGATCTTTCAGTGACAGGTTATCTCCTACCAAGTACTGAGAGCTCTAAGCAGACTTTATTGACTACAACAATAAATACAGGAAGTGTAAATTTGAAGTACCGTGTTCCAAAAAGGAAAAACAGAAAAAAGAAGTCTCATTTGTAATCTTAAAGCTAAATGAGGTTCCTTCTCTCCTAAGTGGCACATGAATGCATTTTAAAGCACCTTAAGTGAGTGTCAGGGCCAGCAAGTGGAGCAGTGGTTAAGGGGCTGGACTCCCACATGACCAATTGCAGTTTGAGTCCCGGACCTGAAAATCGCACCGGGCACGTGTGTGTGTGTGTGTGTGTGTGTGTGTGTGTGTGTGTGTCCAAAATCCCAGGAGGAGAATGGAGAAAAAGGGATTGCAGTGTGGCCATCCCCCCTGAAAAGTGACTTCTCACTATTCCTTTCACTGTCTCTGTCTCTCTTCAGCAACCAAGTAGGCCCTATGGCTAAAACCTTTAAAAAAGAGTATCGCCAAGTCTACTGTGAAAACACAAAATATACCTTGAGACTAATAAAAGGAGAGGCTAGAGACAAAAGGCTACATACAGTATGATTCCATTCATAAGGAATGTCCAGAACAGGCAAATCCATAGGCACAGAAAGCAATTAGGTTGTCAGGTGGCAGGGACGAGGGAGGATGAGGAATGACTGCTATAAAGCATAATAGCATTCCTTTTTGGACTCATGACAATTTTCTGAACGCAGACGGTGATAACGATTGCATGACTCTATCACGATACTAAAACTTACATACTTCAAAATCATGAATTTTATGGTACATACTATTTTTTAAAAGGTTACTATTAAAAAAAAGGAAGAAGAGGGGGACCGGCAGGTGGCATGGTGGTTGAGGTGCCGGACACTCCCACATGGCCAACCATGGTTCAAGTCCTGTACCTGGTGGCTTGCTTTCTCACTTTCCTCTCTCTGTGTCTCTAGTCAAATTAAAATAAATGAATGAATAAATAAAATAGAATAAAATAATTATTTAAAAAAAAAAAAAGGAAGAGATAGGGAAATTCTCCTCCCCGCACCGTACACTTTCATCTTGGAAATGCACGATGAGTATACTAAAAGCTCTCAAAAGTTCTGTAGAAATCAGATTGCCGTGTTTAATCCAAAGTTTCCCAAACTTCCAGGACAGAAGACCATCCCAACACCCAGGTCCCTCCCTACAAAGCCTATTAATCGGTGCTTCGATCTGATGCTCTCTGGAAAACATTGGGAAGGGCTCTAATGTTTGCCCTCCATATTCTACAAAACCAAAACAGAAAAGGGAGAATCAGAGGAATATTTACTATTCACCATCTGTGGAACTGAAATGCACTAGTGGAAAATGAATTTTTCAAATGAGTCTTATACAATCTAGTAATCTAGAAAGTATTTCATGTTATTTTTTAAAAGAGCCAACTAATTTTTAATTTTTATATATGTTTCAATTAAAAATAAAAATATAACCCAATTACTTAAATTATTTCCATGGGAAAATATACTCCACACCCCATTCTCACCTCCTGGGATAGAAACTTTTAAAAGTTACATTAGTTTTTTTAGTGCCTGACTTGCATCACAAGAAATTTCAGGAATCCCAATACATAATTCATAATTTACAGTCCTTACAACTAAAATTAAAGACTTTACCAAAACTACTTAATTCTTAAAATAAAATCATTAGGAAGGATGTCAGCTGTCTGAAGAGCTAATATACTCACTCTCTACTTTCTATGTAGCTCAAAAGTTAAGTTCCACTAGACGCAATTGTTATAGGATGGGAGAGTTGATCTGTGGTGTGTGAAATTCTTGGTTCTTTAGGTCCAGATCTCTAAGATGAGAGACCCGTCCTGAGATGCAAAATGAAAAACCAGAAACACTTGTAAACTAGTAAAAGGAAAGTTCTAATAGGAAAGTGGGGATTTTTAATAGGAAAGGAGTACACCTCCAGAAGGGCATGCAGGTAGGCAGCTGCTGGAGGACAACTACACTGCGCACAAGGTTAGGTGTTACATTTATTCCTTTAGCAAAGGAAGATCTGGCATAGTATCTGGACTACTTGTTTGAGTTCAAGGGCTTTTTCCTGCACTTTCCTACCTCTCTCACAGGTAAAGAATTCAACGACCTAATCCTGCAGGCTCAGTGTGGACTGAGAAGGTATGAGCATCCTTATACGGAAGAATTGCCCAGTTTATTGCTTAGTGGGAATCAGGATGTTGACCAAAACATCGTTTGTTCCTTTTGTATTTATGAGGAATGATAAGAGGAAAATTAACAACCATCCCTATTACCTTTCTCAGGTACTAACAAAGAAAAATGAGATCTGCCTTGCCTTCCTGGCACCAGCAGCTATGTGGGAAGAAGGCATTTTCCGGAAGGGTCTGGTTATAACTCATGATAAGTTGTAACTGATGCAGCAGGTGTCCTGTTATTTTTTTAGGGCTGCCAGCTCATTTCTAGCTAACTCCTAAAATACAGTAACTTGGTTTATAAATATATTATGCAATAAAGGCAAATCATAGAATACATTCCATAGTACTCCAATTTATACAAAGAAGCAGCCTAGCTTTGTTTTTAAGGATACAAAAAAATATATACATGGAGCGCCATAAATAAAAGCAATAGCATAGTAAGAAGCAAACTTCAGGGAAGAGGTTCACTCTAAGGAGAGGCCTTCAAAGGGAATGGTGATGCTCCTATATTAACATGGGTAGGCACAAAAGAGTGCTCAACTTTCTCTGAATTTATTCTCTAAAGAGAAGATATAAAATTTCAATACTTCTGCTACTCAAATCAAAATATCTCACAAATAACTTGTCATCAATCCTAGAGAATTTAGTTTACCTTCTACATGTAGTGCTTTTTAAAAGTCACATAAGAAAAGCAATTTTAGGAACCAGCAGTTAGCGTAATGGCTATGCTGCTGAACTCCCATGTAGTTGACTGTGGTTCGAGTCCCAGACCTGGCGGCTTAAACTCACACGGGGCGCATGTGCAAGTGCCCAAGATCCCAAGAGGAGAATGAAGGAGAAGAGATTGCGGTGTGGCAATCCCCCCTGGGGAGTGATTTCTCGCTTTCTGTATCACTGTCTCTCTTTGTCTTTCTGGAGAGCACACGCGCCCTATAGCAAAAACCTCTACAAAAAAAAAAAAAAAAAAAAAATTTTATAAAGAAAACTTTTAATGAAAAAAAAAAAAAAAAAAAAAGAAATTTTATAAAGGGAACTTCTGATGCTTAAAACCAACATTTAGTGTTATACATGAAGTATAACACTCTTATAAACACATGCATAATAAATTCTTAACTGATCACTCTCACCTGCAAGATTAAAGTAGAGGTAAACACTACAACAAATTTCTAAATTATGAATGATGCTGATTAATTTCAACAAATAATTATTAGTGTTAGAAAGATTTCTTAATATTACCTGGGGCAAGATTCAAAGGTAATCTTCTAGGTGAAATTGCTCTGGGGTGCTGCTTACTAATTTCTTCATAAATCTGAAGCCTCTCTTCTAAAGTGCCTATTAGAAGTAAATACATGAGAGATTCACAGTATCAAAACTCTTATCTATGATAAAACATTAATAAACTTTAAAAATTATTATAAATAAGAATACAATTTTCAGTATTAAAGCTGCTCTCAAATTTGGCAAGAATGATATTAAGAACTCTGTGGTAGTGAAATACTATAATCAGTAAATTACAAGATAAATCCAATACATCTTTCATCACAACAGATATTAAACATCAAATTCAAATCACACACACAAAGTTACATAGACTCAAGACATGTATGCAGCTTACATTACTCAGCACAAAAGAACCCACTTTTAAAACATATCCTTTGTAACGTATTTTACATAAACATTCCACCACAAATGAAGCCTGCATAGAAGTCTGTAACACCTGTTGATTACACTTTAATAAGCAAGTTTTATGATAATGACTATGAATTAAATGTCTATGGTAGCTTTGACACAAAGTTCAATGAACTTCCATTATAAAGAGCCTCATTAGTCCTGGTTCTTTATAGTGTCAATCATTTCTCCCAAATGATATAAAATACATTTCTAACAGAAGGTGTGTCTTCCCTCTCAAGAATCACCTAATTTTATGGTACCACATAAAGGAACTATATGTAAGCTATTCCTGTTACTTTATAAAACTACCTGGCAGAGTAGGCTCTGGGTACAGTTCATTATTCTCAAGCAATACGTTGCATTATTTACAAAGAGAGACTACATACATTATTTTATATACGCAATAAGACCATTTATAGCAGACTTTTAAGAAAAAGCAAACAAACGTTTTTCAAACTATAAGGTTTTAAGTGAATTTTAATTCATACTCCAGAAATTTAATTTTAAGGATAAATCTGGATGCTCACAAAGAAGTATCTCCATAATAAATTAATATCAAGATTATCAACACCATACTTTCAGAGGTAAAGTTTGATTTTATGTAAAGTCTGATTTTATATAGATTCATTCCTTACCCCAATACTATGTTTTGGAGTTCCAAAGTTGAATTTTAAAAACTGAAATATAGGGGACGGACCAGCAGATGGCATAATGGTTATATCACTGGACTCCCACATAGTCAAATGCAGTTCAAGTCCTGGACCCAGCAGCTTAAAACGCACGCTGTGCATGTGTGCATTCACCAAATCCTGAGAGGACAATGGAGGAGAAGGGATTGAGGCATGACCATCCCCCCGGGGGGTGATTTCTGACTTTCTGTCTCTCCAGAAAGTGCATATGCCCTACGGCAAAAATATCTCTAAGAAAAAAAAACAAAGCTGAAATATGGGAGCCAGCAGGTGGCATAGTAGTTAAGCCACTGGACTCCCACATGGCCAACAGCAATTCAAGTCCTGGGCCCAGCAGCCTGAAATTTACGCAGGCCACATGTGTGTACATGCCCAAAATCCCAAGAGGAAAATGAGAAGACAGGATTGTAATGTGACCATCCCCCTGGAGGCTGATTTCTCACTTTCTGTCTCTGTCTCTCTAGTGAATGTACACACCCTAATACCAAAACATCTCAAAAAATGTTTAAAAACTGAACTATGTAAAAAATAATATTCTGTTAATGATTCAGAGACTTTGTAAAATATTGCTAAAATGTATACAAGGGCTATTGTGTATATCTTTTTAAATTCTCTTATTTATGCCTAATCCTAGAGAATGACAAGCTTTTAATACTGAGGAAAAATATTTTTCCACTACCCCAGATATAACCAATCTTAATGTAGGGGTTTCTTTCGTTTGTTTTTTGGAGAGGTTTTTGATATAGTGTGCGTATGCTTGCAGGAAAGACAGAGACAGAGAGACAGAAAGCGAGAGATCACCCTCCCCTAGAGGGGATGGTCACACCGCAATCCCTTCTTGTTTTCCTCCTGGGATCTTGGGCAAACACGACAGGCATAAGTTTAAGCCACCGGGTCCGGGACTCAAATCACAGGCAACTACATGGGAGTCCAGTGACATAGCCATTGCACCAACTGCTGGTCCGAATCTTAATGTAGTTTTTTAAATAGATATATAAAGTATTACTTATTTAACTTTATTTATTCATTCATTTATTTTTAATTTGACCAGAGAGACGTACACCGAGAGAGAGAAGGTGAGAAAGCAAGCCACCAGGTCCAGGACTTGAACCGAGGTCGGCCATGTGGGAGCATCCAGTGCCCTAACCACCACGCCACCCACTAGTCCCCTCAATCTTAATGTAGTTTTAGCATCCTATTTTAAGCTACTAGTTGGAGCTCCAGAACTTATATGAGAGAGGTCTTAAAAAAAACAAAAAGATCAAGTAGTGCAATTAGTTTTATTACTATTATTTATTACAAAGTCAGTAAACAGTAGTTTAAAGAAAATCAGTTACCTCACATTTCCAATCTTCATGCATGTGACTTTTATCTTATTTTCTAAAAACAGATTATCAATCTAATTTTTTTTTTTTTGGAGAGGTTTTTGATATAGGGCGCATGCACTCACCAGAAAGACAAGAGATACAGAGAGATAGAAAATGAGAAATCACCCCCCAGGAGGTTGGCCACGCCGCAATCCCTTCTCCTCCATTCTCTTGGGATCTTGGGCATGCACGCACATGTACCCGGCATGAGTTTAAGCCACCAGGTCTGGGACTCGAACCACGGTCAACTACATGGGAGTTCAGGGACATAGCCATTACGCTAACTCTTGGTCCCTCAATCTAATAATTTAACTTGAACCATTTTCTTGGGAAAACAATTTGAGGAAATAACAATTTTTAACAATCTGTGGTATTAAATTTTAAACATAAGCAGAAAACCTGGATTAATGTGTAACAATAAACCTTTCTTATATAAAGGTTTATAAACAAATATTGAAAATTAAATTTTTAAATTCTGCTATTGCAACATCCTTAAGCTAATTCTGTAATCACTTCAGACATTTATTTATCCACAAGTAAGTGTAGTTTTGGTAATACTAATTGCACCTACCAACGTTTAATTATGAAAAGACTAGGGAGATTTTTAAATAATACTCTAGATTTCTGAAAAGGGTCAAGACTATCTAATTTTGAGAGTCAGCTCAACACAAATTGGCCTACTTTGGAATTAAGATAATCCTTTTCACACTGGTGCTAAATACTACATAATTCAACAAGATTTCTTCAGTCCAATTCTTTGTTTATAGGTTAATGGTAACGAACCTCTAATGATTTAAAAATATTTAATTGTGACATTTCCCAGACAAAGAGAATGCTATTTTCTCTCCAGTTAGTCTAAATGGATAAGATTTTAATGGGTTAAGAAACCTAAAATTATCTGTATGCTCTTAACACTTACATGTAAACATCTGAATTCATTTTCACTCCCACATGTAACCTATAATTTTAACTAAATGGAAAAATTAGTGATGCTAAAATTATTTGTCCTCAAGCATTATTATAATTTTACATTTTATTATACTTCAAACACTAATAGAGGAAAAAAAGCATTACGTACTAAGTTGCAGAGCTTTTTCCAAGCCTTCATAATAACACCAATTTTCTGCATTCCGATCAATCAAGTTTTTGAATACTCCACTGGCTTCTTTTAATCTTCCCAATTTCAACAGTATTTCCCCTAAAATTAAGTTTAAAGTCACATTTATTTCACTTAAATATTAAATTCCTTTCTGATCCCAGAGACTTCACTAAGCATTATCAGTCAACAGAGCTCTACATTTAGAATTTTTTCTCTACGACACATAGCAGTTTATATAACTAAACAGATTGACAGCTTAGCTTCAAAAATGAACCTTCCTTTACCCATTCTATCATAATACCATTAGCTTTTGGCTTCTTCTCTAAGGTACACAGGTAGGATATCAATATTGTCATTCTTTCCATTAAACACATTGCTATATACCCTTTGAGATAACTTAGGATCCCTCCCCCCAACATACAACAAAACTGGATTAAGCCAATATTTCTAATACTTTCTATTTTTTTATAAGAATTATTTTATTTTTAACTATAATTTATTTATTTATTTATTTTAATTTGACCAGAGAGGGACATAGAGAGAGAGAGAGAGAGAGAGAGAGAGAGAGAGAGAAAGCAAGCAGCCAGGTCTGAGCTTGAACCTCAGTCGGCCACGTGGGAGTCCAGCGCCCTTAACTGCAACGCCACCTGCCGGCCCCCAATATTTCTCGTACTTTCAATCTATCCTTCCTGATCAGTTCATATACTAAACAAGTCTCCGTTCAGTTCTCTTATTAGTTTCCTTCCCAAGTCACTAAAACTGGAATACCACTCAGTGACATTATAACTGCACACCATATCAAAGCAAGAAACTAAACAATGTTCATGTGCAATCACCTCTGAGGTTCAAATTGTTTTACTAAGCCACATGAGTTTGAAACAGTGTAGAGGGGAGTGCCTAAACCTCTTGGATTTAATGGAAAGCAAACCTAATCCAAGATGAAAAAAAGAAAGGTTCTCGAAAAAGAACCTTTATACCTATACCTCAACTTCCTATCCCTAAGGTTACCCATTTCCCAAATAACCTATTTCAAATAAACTTTAGAAAGCTCTTCAGTCACACTATTTCAGCTTTCACATATTACACATTACAGTGATTTTACTGTTTCGATACTATATATCACTCAAACTCTCCAGTAAGACTGAACCAGGTAGAATTACCAATTCCATCACTTACTCTGTGACCTTGAGGAGGCAGCACACTGCCTGGTACAAAATGAACACGCCTACACTTAAAACTATAAACACGCCCCAGTCTTCCACAAATACGTTACAGTCTAATTTTTACAGTACTTATCCTAGATATGATAGACAACAGCATATTTTTCATTTCAAAAACCACCTGTTATCTGCTCCCATCATGAAGCAAACAAAGGTCTACTGGAGGAAAGCACAGGACAAACAAGTACACGTGCACATGTATAAGAGAAAATCTCTCAAGTTTTTTAAAATAATTTTAAATTAACTATAAAAAGATGTAAGCGTGCAGACATCAAAGGTCTCTGGGCCGGCCAAGTTCCCTGAAAAAAAAAATACTATAATCTATCCTTATAGGCCATACAGAGCATTGGCTCTATATTCAAGATTAATAGCCCCATCACCCTCACTAGCAATATATAAGATGAATGCAGCTATGAGACAATTTGCGCAATATTTTAACTAGAATTTATCTATTTCATGTTTTCTTCTTTTTTAAATAATTATTTAATTGCGTTTGTTACTATTATATTTAATTTGATGCGAGACAGGCAGAGAGAGAGAGAAAGGGAAAGCGAGAAAGCAAGCTACCAGATCTGGGACTCGAACCACAGTCGGTCACATGGGAATCCAGCGCCTTTAGCCACCATGCCACCTGCTGGACCCTTCATGTTTACTGTCAACAACTACATTCCCTATTGATGGTACAAGATAAAGAAAAAAAGCAACTTGAGAGAGTTAGATTTAATCAGGAAATAATAATATGTCAGAAAAAATAAATTGTCTTTTTTTCTTTGTTCCCACCAATTCCAGGTAATGGAATAAGATGGCAGAAAAAATATATAAATAATAAAAAATAAATAAATAAATAAATAAATAAATAAATAAAAATATGAGAGAAAAAAAAAGATAGCAGAATATATAATTAGCCATATTTTAAGGACAGTTCCCAAAAAAAGTGCTGTCATCTATATTGGTATTAGTATTAAATCACAGTAAAAACTAAATCAGTAGGTAAGAGTAGAATATAGCAGATAAAAGGGCCTGTGAGGGCCAATAGATGACATAGAGATTAAGGTATTGGATCCCACATGGCCATCTTCACAGTTCAAGTCCTGGATCCAGGAGCTTGAGAATCATGCTGAATGCTGGAACCAGCAGGTGGCATAATGGCTATGTCACTGGACTCCACGGTTCAAGTCCCAGAACGGGTGGATTAAACTCACTCTGGGCGCATGTGCGTGCATGCCCAAAATCCCAAGAGAATGGAGGAGAAGGGATTGCAGCGTGGCCATTCCCCCTGGGGGTGATTTCTCGCTTTCTGTCTGTCTTTCTCTGTCTTTCTGGTGAGCGTGTGCATTCTATAGCAAAAACCTCTCCAAAAAAAAGAGAATCATGCTGAATACATGTGCATGTGTGCATGCATGCCCAGAATCCCAAGAGAAGGGATTGTGGTGTGGTCATTCCCCTGGGGCATGATTTCTCACTTTTCCTCTCTCTTTGGCAAGTGTATGCACCCAATAGCAAAAACTTAGGAAAAAAAAAAAACGTATGAAAAGACATGAGGAGCCATAAGTATACAGTATATATTACTACATGAAAAAAAAAGTCAATCTAAACACACTATCTACTGTTATTACTGCAACTATATGGCATTATGAAAAAGGCCAAACTATGGAGACAGTAAAAAGGCTGACGGGGCTCAGAGAAGGATAGATGAATAGGTGAAGCACAGAGGACTTTTAGGGTATATAATACTAAAATGGTGGGGACACATGCCATTATACGTTTGTCAAAATCCACAGAATATGAAATTGGGGGAGGCCGTAAGTATGTGGGGATACAGGACATATTTACTCAATTTTGCCGCAATTCTAAAACTGCCCTGAAAAGTACTGTTTTTTTTTAAAGGACTCTGAAGTCAGGAAAATGTGTTTACAAACTAAATCTACCATTGAAAAGGATGAATGACTCTGAGCAAGTCGTTAACCTCCCTAAGCCACAGTTTCCACAACCATATAGTAGGAATAATAAATAGTACCCATCTTAAAAGCACTACAAAACTTATATGAAGTAGAACAGTTTAAGCAATTAACATACCTTGAAACAGAAAAAGGGTTAAAATATATTAGTCATTATTTTTATTAAGCCTTAGAGGTCCTGCAACTGTATGAAACCTTCGTTCTGAACTATTATTTTAGTTGGATATTCTGTTTAATAAGATACTGCTCACGGAATGGTTAACTGATGAACAATGCCTTAGGAAAACCTTTGACTCTTTGCAGAACTATTACAAGGGGAGCCTGCCTTCATAACAGGTTCGTAATGAAAACAAGTGACTCTTACTTTCGTAATAACCCAGTATCATCGTTTACTGTTCCCTTTGTATTTTATTACATGTGTACGTACATTCACACATATATTTTGGATATGAAGAAAGTACAACATACTGCTTAAGAGAATAAAATCTAGACTCAAACCCAGCACTACAGTAGTGCTTCTTAATTCAGTTTCACTTTTTGAGGTATCAGTTACCTGTGGTCAACAACAGTCCCAATATTTTGAGAAAAAGACAAGCAGACTGACCATATTCATATAATTTTTATTACACTATATTTTTATAACTTCTAGCGAATATACGAATAGAAAAAAAAACTAGAGTACATATAGAATTTGGTAATATTTGCAATTTTAGGCATGCACTGGGGGTCTTGAAACATCATATCACATGTGGATGAGGGGTTATGTACTGTAATTCCTTACTAAACTTTGGACAAGTCACTTACTCTCTGTTCCCTAGTTCACATCTTAAAAATGAACATAACAACTACACACAGGGTTGTTATGAGGATTAAATCAATTAATAATGGTTTAATAATAAAGTACTATTAAAATATTGCACCGAGGTACATAAAAATGTCATTTACATGTACATTAAATAAAGTTAGGACAGTAGAAAAGAGAGTTTTTGCCCTTTTTGCTCACTGAAACAATTAAATAAGAAAAAGCAAGTCACCTTTAATTTCTTCCACCAAAAGTTTATCACATATTTGTTTCTCATATGTTTCTATATGTTCCAGAGATTCCTGAAATAGATCTGCTTCTCTCATCACTTGATTCTGGTATAGTATCAGTTCACTATATTCATAGTCTATTTTGTTGGGAGGAACCTGAAAAAAAAGAAAAAAAGATCAAATTACCTTATTTGTATAACATAAAGTAGTTACAGACCTTTAATTAAATTGCCTCCTCAGGAGAATCTCTCACACAGACTTAAAGTAACCCACCAACAGTTACAAATAGACAATGATTAACAGCAGAGAAGATAATTCTTTTTTTTCTAAAAAATTATTTAATTTTATTTATCTTTTTTATTATTATTATTATTTTCTACAGAGCATGTACACTCACTAGAAAGAGAGATAAAAGGAAAGGGAAAAAGCAAGCCGCCAGGTCTGGGACTTGAACCCTGCTCGGCACTGTGGGAGTCCAGCACCTTAACCACTATGCCACCTGCTCACCACACTCAATGTATTCTTTAACACACACAAATAAGGGTGGGACACCTGTTTGTAGACAATTAAAAGGTCAGAAAATCCTATACTCAAGTATAAAAATGGTTGAAAACCCAAGAAATCTACCCAAAAAACTACCTGATTTAATAGAAGATGTTAGAGAGGTCAAAGAACAAACGATCATCATATAAAAATCAATTACAGTTCTGTAAACAAATAACCCACCAATAAAATGAAAACAATTTCACTCACAATACCATCAAAAAATATTTAGCAATAAATATTAAGAAACAAGAACTATATACCGAAAACTACAAAATAAGTTGAAAAAAAATTAAAGACCTAAATAAAGGGAAACATTCCATTCCATGTTCAGGAACCAGAACTCTCAATATTATTAAGATGGCAATTCTCCCCAAACTGATTTCTGTGTTAGATGAAATCCCTACCAAAATCTCGGCGAGTGTTTCGGCAGAATCTGGCAAGCTGATCCTTAAATTCATATGGAAATACAAAGGACCTAGAATATCCAAAACAATCTCAAAAAAGAGCAAAGAGGACACACATTTTGAATTTCCAACTTACTGTAAAGCTACAACAATAAAGTTGGCATGGCACTGCGTAAGAACAGACAGACAAATCAAAGAAAAAAATACCAAGTCTAGAGATAAACTCCAAAGTGATCAAATAAGGAAAAGGCCATCTCAAGAAATGATGGGCTGGTGCGCACCTGTAATCCCGGCCACTTAGGTGGTTGAGACAGGAAGACTATGAGTTTGAAGCCAGCCTAGGCAATACAGCAAGACCCTACTAGCTTTTAAAAAAAGGTCTGTTTTTTTCTTATTTCTTATATATGCTACAGGGCACATGTGCTACACAATCCCTTCTCCTTCATTCTCCTCTTGGGATCTTGGACACACACGCACACGCGCCCCGCGTAAGTATAAGCCACCGGGTCCAGGAATCGAACCGCGGTCGACTACGTGGGAGTCCAGCGACATAGCCATTACACTAACTGCTGGTCCCCATGGTGAATACTTTTAAAGCATTGTGTATACAAGGAACATTTTTAATATTACATGAAATGCATTGATAGTAAGCTAGGAGAGAATATGAGTTCTTTTAATGTGACATAGTTTCTTATGCTGACAGAAAAATCCTTTTTCTTACACAGAATATCATCTCATTTCCCTTTGGCTCATCATTTTTATTTATTTAATTTTAATGAATTATGTAATTTTAAAAATTATTATTAGTATTTTCAATTTGCTACAGGGCACATGTGCTAGAGAGAGAGAGAGAGAAGGAAAGTGAGAAAATAAGCTACCAGGTCTGGGAATTGAACTATGGTCAGCCATGTGGTAGTCCAGTGCCTTCACCACACACCACATGCTGGTCTCATTAAAAAAAATTTTTTTTAACTAAAAAAAAGAAAAGAAAGAAAAAAATGTTGGAACAATTAAATATTCACATACAAAAAAATTACTTCAGACATACACCTCATATTACATAAAAAATCAACTCAAAATGGATCATAGACTGAATATGAGTACTAAAATTATAAAAGAAGTTTTAGAAGAAAAAAAGGAAATCTTTGTGAATTCATGCAAAGAAGAAAAAAATGACAAATTGGACTTCATCATAATTAAAAACTTTTCTTCTTCCATAGGTAACATTAATAACATGACAGTACAAGTTACAGACTAGGAGAGAATATTTGCTAATGATATATCTTATTTTAAAAAAAAAATCTAGCGGGGCAAGCAGGTGGTGTGGTAGTTAAAGTGCTGGACTCCCACGCACATGACCAAAAGTGGCTTGAGTTCCAGGCCTGCTGTCTCTGTTTCCATCTTCCTCTCCCTCTATTATTAAAATAATAATAATAATAATAATAATAATAAATAATTTTTTAAAAACCCACATATCTAGAGAGCATAAGGAACTGCTTTCTCCTCTCCCTCTCTCCTGTTCTATCTCTCTCTGGCAAGCACACGTACCCTCTACTTGACTACCAAGTAAAACTGTAGTGACAAGATTAAAAGCAAACTCATTCTTGACTGGTGGTGGTTGTTACCTGTATTAAAGATTCATAAAACTATACATCAAAAAAATGTCAATTTAATGGTTACGTTACTGGACTCCCACATAGTTGACCGCAGTTCGAGTCCTGGACCCAGCGGTTTAAACTCACACCAGGCGTGTGTACATGCATGCCCAAAATCTCAAAAGGAGAATGGAGGAGAAGAGACTGTGGCCTGGCCATCCCCCCCTGGTAGGTTTCTCATTTTCTGTCTCTGTCTCTCCAGTGACCATATGTACCCTACAGAAAAAAATCTCTCTCTGAAAAAAAGCCAATTTTTTTTTTTTGAGAGATTTTCACTGTAGGGCGCGTGCACTCGCCTGACAGACAGAGAGAGACATAGAGACAGAAAGCGAGAAATCACCCCCCAGGGGGGATGGTCACGCCGCAATCCCTTCTCCTCCATTCTCCTCTCGGGATCTTGGGCACACATGCACACGCGCCCGGCGTGAGTTTTAAGCCACCGGGTCCGGGACACGAACCGCGGTCGACCACGTGGGAGTCCAGCGACATAGCCATTACGCTAACTGCTGGTTCCCAAAAAAAGCCAATTTTAAAGTATGATATTTTTAACTTTAAAAAGAAGAAAATCCTGGACAGCTTCACAGCCTGGTAGTTAATGCAACCAGATCCTACATGGCCAACTGGGTGGTTTGAATCCCAGACATAGTGGCTTAAGAAACACACCCAGCATGTGTGCCCAAAATGCTGAAAGGAAGGAGAGATAGAAGAGAAGGGATTGTATGACCATGCCCCACAGGAGGTGCTTTCTCTTCTCCCCCTCTCCTCTCTGGTGAGTGCACAGTTCCCTCTAGCCTAAGAAAAAGAAAATCAAAGATATGTATTAGAACAAAAAGACTGGAAAAAGATAAAGGGAAAAAGGAACAATCGAGGCAGATACTATCAAACTAGTATTTATTTCTTCCAAATAGAAATTATAAAGAAAGGGATCAGCAGTTGGCATAATGGCTATGTCGCTAGACTCCCATGTAGTCAACCGCAGTTCGAGTCCGGGATTTGGTGGCTTCAACTCACACTGGGCACGTGTGCATGCATGCCCAAGATCCCGAGAGGAGAATGGAGAAGGGATTGCAGCATGGCCATCCCCCATGGGGGGGTGATTTCTCACTTTGTCTCTCTGTCTCTCTGTTTCTAGTGAGCACACATGCCCAATAGCAAAAACTACTCAAAAAAAAAAAAAAAAAAGATACAAAGAAAATATAAATGATCAAAGAAACAATCCATGATAAGGTCTGAGCAATCAAAAATCTATTTCTCAGGTCCACTAAATGTCCAGCGCAAACGGTTTACTCAAGATCAATACCTAGACACATCTGGGTAAAATTTTCAGAACACAAAAATATTTTTCTGGAAAGAAGAAAGAAAACACAACCAAGCATCAGACTCCTTATTAGAAATAACAAGACATGTTCAGAATTCTATGAGAAAATTATTTCTAACCTAGAATTGGACAATGGCTAAACTAAGAAGTGTAAGAAAAAAACAAGAACATTCACAGATATATAAATGGTTCATAAGTTTATGTCCCATTACCTTTCTTAGAAGATTACCAAAAGATATATTCAGCAAAACAAAGTAAATAAAGAAAATATAAATTTCAGGAAAAAATAAAGTCAATCTGGGTTCAGGAAAAAACATCTAATATAATGAAAAGAGTTAAAAAAAAAGGCACGAATTGTGGAGGAAAAACTTTAAGGAAAATCTAAACGCTGTACAAAAAAAGGAAATTAAAGTACACTAAAGCTGGCTTCTTGGTTTATAACCTTTACATAGTCGAAGTCACATAAACACTATTGATTTTCAACTTTACAAATCAACTTATATGTAGAACAAGCTATTGATACCCACCACTTGGACAGAAGTATTATGGGTGAAAAAAGCCAATCTCAAAAGGTTACATACTTCCAATTCCATTTATATAGCAAAGTCAAAGTGACAAAAGCACAGTGATGGGTGACAGATCAGTGACTGCTGAAGGTAAAGGTTCCGAGAGGAGCACAACTATTAAGGGTCTGGCACGGTACTCGGTAAGGAAACAACCTATCCAGGTTTGCAGCTGAAGCTACTGGCTCTCCCACACAGCCTATGCTGTACCATCTAGGTTAAGTAAACTTGTGCTACTTCCACACTGATGAAATTCCCTAAGGAAGGAGCCAACACGTGGCTTGGTTAAGGCATGAGATTCCCACATGGTTGACCACGGTTCAAGTCCCAAACCTGGTGGCTTGCTTTCTCACTTTCCTTCTCTGTCTCTCTCCGTCTCTCTGGGCAGATTTTTAAAATAATAATAATAAATAAAATTTAATAAATATTTCTTTTTTAAAAAATTCCCTAAGGGCACATTTTTCAAAATACATCCCTTTCACTAAGCAAGGGATATATTATAGCTTGCAGGGTAAAAGAAAATGTTAAAATGAAACTCTTACTTGCTGAGTTTGTCTAAATTCTTCCAACAGTTTTAGTGCCATATCATAATCTTTCAGCAAATGGTAGGCTATAGCATATCCGATCCAGGAAGCACGCTGTGTTGGACGCAACTGAAGAAGCTGGTATCTTGTCTCCTTTTAAAAAAAAAATTAAATTGTTTTTACTTAACTATTTTATTCCTCTCAAATGTTTATATTTCATCAGAATTTTAAGAAAACAAACACTTTTGGCACCCTTCCAGTGAATTACGTAAACAAACATCGTCCTAGAATAAAATAGAAATAGTTTTCAAGTTTCTTATCTAAATTTATTTTACATAAGTTCTGGAATACCATGCAATGCTCATTATAATACTGTCAATGAAAGGTGTCATTGGAGTCTAAGCCTATAGGCTGCCTAATAAAATTAGCTTTATATAATGTGAATTCCATGGGGAAATTCATTTTGCAGAGAGTTTTTAATATATTTATGCTACTGATAAAATTACATGAAATAATAATGTACACAGCCAGGGGAAACAAATACCTGACTGGATTCTTTTAGCTGAACCTCTATCACTGCCACCAAAGGACAGATCTATGACACCAAGAACAAACATTAGAAGTTCTATCCTGGCTGCCCCAGGAGATGAAGGTATCTTCCCTAGCCAAAAATCCAAGCTATGTCCATACCCCTCACCTCTCACTGTCATTTCTTTCTCCAACATTTAAGCAAGTGCCGCTGCTGGCAGGAACAGGGTGTCATGAAGAAATGTTTAGCTTTAGTGTCTGTTGTAGATGGCTGGAATCCATACACCACTAGAATCTTTGAGATCATTTTTAGTGTTTTCTTTTGTTTTGTTTAGTTTTAATTGCCAGAAGGCACTGCACTCACCATGGAGAGACAAGAGAGACAGAAAAAGGTAAGAAAGGACCACCCAGTGAAGTATAGCCAGGCCACAATTTCTTCTCTTCCAATTCTCCATCCTGCCAGGATTTAGGGCATGCAGGCATGCTTTTCCCAAGCCACTAGGGCCATGGCCAGCCAAATGTAATCAGTCCCCATTAACACTAGACCAGCTACAAGGCTGGCCCTTTTCAGACCTTTTTTATAAAGGTATCTGACAAAATGATTCAGTGTCCCTCCTCTACCCTCATTATAAGTGTTAAGTGGTTTCTTTCAGATATGACATGAAACTGTATCACTTATCCCTTATTCTCAATGTTGAAAATGAAGGATTTATTTAAAAAGAACTGTTATAAACTGGTGTCGGGGCCAGCAGGTGGCTAGTGGTTAAGGTGCTGGTCTTCCACATGGCCAACTGCAGTTTGAGTACACCTGTACATGCATGCCAGAAGCCCCGAGAAGAGATTAGAGAAGGGATTGCAGCATGGGCCATTCCCCCCAGGGGATGATTTCTTGCTTTCTCTTTGTCTCTCCAATGAGCGCACGCATCATATAGCAAAAAAAAACAAACTCTTAAAAAGAAAAAGAAAGGAGTGGTGTGTGCCTTTACATTCTGAATATACTGATTTTATGATACTAAGTGGAGTAAGCATGTGGACATGCCAGCAGAGAATTGAAAGTATAAGTTTGAAGAGGTCTAAACTACAGAAAGACTGATTTATGACAATTCTCACATTATTTTGTATTTACTAACATACAATAAAGCTAGTTAATCTGTATGTTTAAATTTCAATGATAAAAGCTGTATTAGTTTACCAAATTTATAACTGTCAAACCGACGAAGAACCTAGTACAGAATTTTCATATAGAAGATGTTCTATGTGCAAATACATTTTTATAACCATGAAAAGAAATTATCCTTTTTTTTATCCTAAAGTTTTTTCAAAAAAAAACATTAAATGAAAAGGCAGTTTGGCCCTTTTCTAACACTCAAGTACAAAATTCAACAACTGTTATTGAAAGGAAAGGTTCAAGTGCTCTTCCCTCCCCTTCTACAACGGACTATAATGAAAATTCAAAGCTACATGATCTTGGCTTTTTATGCTCATATCTCATCATGAATTTATATACTTTTATATTAAATCTATTGTTAAAAAAAAGTATATTTAAAACTAAAATACTTACTCTGTAACCTTCAAGGTCTCTCATTTGGATCTGCAACAAAGAAAGATCCCTCAGGATTTGCAGATTATCTTTATCTAATTTGAGGGCATTTCGGTAACACTTAATAGCTTCATCGTATTTCTTATCAGAACGCTGCAAGAGTCCATATACATGCCAACCTACTCGGTTAAGGAAACACATTCACAGACACTAGAACATACTATCCTGTATATCTCTCTCACATATGACTTACCATAAGAAAACAGTATCTTGTCTGGGATTTATTCAAAATGATTTGGGATCAGAGGTATGGGGATAATGAAGAGTGGTGAAGAGATGAAATCAAATTAGCCTTTACTTACAATTATTAAACTGCTAAAGTAGGGTGATGGGTACATGATGGTTCATTATTCTGGTCTCTCTACTTTTGCACGGTTGAAATTTTTCTTGATATTTTTAAAGTTACTTTAGAAAATTCTCAGCAAAAATTCCTATCTTCTGCTCCTTCACTTTAACCCAAGAACCTCAACATTTGCTTACTTTTAATCACTACATATTGAAACAGTATACAAAAATCAGTTACCTTTTAAAACAAATTTACATTCAATCAATTCTTAAATAACATGAGATCTTTATTTAGTTCACTAGTGAAAAGAGGGGAGATTTCACGAAGTTCATGAAAAAATGGAATTAAAGTAGAATTTTATTTTGGTACCAAAAAAAATTGAAATCCACACCCTTTTTTCATAATAAATATTTTCAATGATCTTTGTAAAGATCCTCATATTGAAAACCACAAATATTAAGTCCTATTTATCATAAAACAAAATCTTAGCACAGCTTGGAGGAAAAAAATAAGAAAGAAAAAAACTATCAAACTATTATACTTACATGCCCTTTCTCTTCACTCTGGGTAAGCACTGGGATAAAGAAATAAGTATTTTAGTACATTAAAAAAAACCTACGTTAAACATGGAAAAAACTTTACTGAAGACAATTTGTGTTAAATACCATTCAATGGCTAAATGAATTAAACATAAAAAGTTAATGGGGCCAGTAGGTTGCATAGTGGTTAAGGTGCTGGACTCCCACATGGCCCACTGTAGGTCAAATCCAGGACCCAGTGGCTTGAAACTAGACCAGGCGTGTGTGAGTACATGACCAAAATCCCAAGAGGAGAATGAAGTGAGAAGAAATTGCGGGATGGCAGTCTCCCCACAGGGTGATTCCTTGCTTTCTGTCTGACTCTTGTATCTCTGGTGAGCGCATGTGCCCTATACCAAAAATCTTCACACACACCCCCCAAAAAAGTTAAGATGTAGGACATTATGTGAAAAAAGTGTGAATTAAACATATAGGCTAAACAAATAAAAACCAATTTCAATGATACACCCTTAAAAAGTGTTTGGAAGGCTGGATAATGGCTTAGGAGTAAAATGCAATTCTACAAAACTGTTCCATGTGGAAAAGTTAAGGGTTCACTTTTGGAGAACTCTGGGACACATGCGTACTCACAATTCAAGTCTAGCTAAAGCTGGATGGATCATGGCATCAAGACCCTTTAGGGGGTACTGTCTGTCTTTATCTCATGGAAGAAATAAAAAATAATGCTAAGTTTTTTTGTTTTTCACAAACTGGGATACTAGGTCAAAGAAAAATACAATTATAAAGATCTAGTAAAGTAACAGCTATATCCCTGTGTTAACAAAAACCAAGCTGAAAAACCCACATTATATCATACTTAATACTAAATAAAAACTTTCAAAATAAGTTCTTTTAAATTTTTCTTCTAAAATTTGTAAAGGAAATTTTAAGAACATAAATTTTACTATCTAGATGAAGTAACTAGAAGTAATTTTTTTGAATAATAGTAAATTATCACTCAGTTCAGGAATGTTTAATAAAGAAGATGCGTTTCAAGTCTCATGTAATTATGAAAGAAACCCTTCTCCAATACTAAGCACGACTGAAGTTGTTTTCTTTAAAATAGTCCAAGGGCAAAAAGCAAATAACCCTAATATTAAAAAATACTGATAAATTATCAAAGCTGAGTAATGGGTACACTGAGTTCACTGAATTCTTTTCTAGGGGCTGGCACATGGTGTAGTGGTTAAGGATGCTGGACTCCCACATGGCCGACAATGGTTTGAGTCCCAGATCTGGTGACTTGCTTTCTCACCACCCCCCCGCCCTCTCTCTCTCGCTCACTCTGTTCCTCTCTGGTCAAATTAAAATAAATAAATAAAGTCAAATAAAATATTTTTTTTTTAAATTCTTTTCTTGTAGGTTTGAAATTTTTCATAGTATAAAAGTTCTTTATTAGGAAAAACTAGTAAGTGCAAACATAAATAATAATTAAATATTTTTTAAAAGGATACAGACATGACTCTTGACGTCATTACGAAGTCCTTTACGAACAAATTCATATGCTTCTTCTTTTTTTCCTAAACAGTTCAGTGTTAATCCTTTCATGGCCAAAGTCTCTGAAAAATAATTTTAACCTCCATTCACACGAGATTCAAATTATTTTCTTAGAACTATTTTAACATTTGAGATCTCAAGTACTACTACTGCTCTGATGCTTCTTTAGCCACCTTTTTAAACCTCATAGTTAGAACTTCTTTCTAAGTACAGAAAGAAAAGGTCAAATTACTTTTAAGGATTTTCTTAGAGAGCTTAGCCCAAGTCATTGTTTGCAATTCCCTAGGCTGGGGTAGAGTCACTACAATGCTCTGTGCCTTTCAGAAGACTCTAAAAGGTGGAGTGATATTATCCTGTTGAAAAAAAAATTTTAACAAAGCACCCAAGTCCTGTTGAGTTAAATTGACAGCAGCAGTTTCAAGGCCTTCAACTAAGATCAATTCTAATTCATGATCGATCTCCTGATTTACACCCCATGAAAACAATTTACCTTAACATAGAGAGATACAATGAGTTACCTTATCCAATATTGGAACAGACTTCCTGTTTGGTATCAAATTTAGTCAAACTAATTCTACTTAAGTTAATTAGTATCAGTTTACATTTCAAGAGCACGCCACCAGAGGATGGAAAGGTAACCCAACGTTATGCTAGGAAGTTAATGAAAAGACAGTTTGGAAATTATTCAGAAATAATTCTGAAGAATCCTACGAGAAATGTATTAGAAAAGAACAACAGTTTTTGAATCGATCTCTGTATACGCTACTGCTTTCAAAATATGGTGACCCAGGGGCCCAGGCCCCTATAAACAACTTTATCTGTTTTTCATATTAAATTTCCTACAGCTTCCCTTTGGATAAGAGTTTCACAGCTAAAAAGTTAGAAAAGACGCTTTAAGCTGCTAAAACACTATGAAACAAAACTTATATTTCCTTCAAAGAATCTTTTAAAGATTATTAGAAAGTTGAGCAGGCCAGCCTATTTTCCAAACAAGATGGTCTCAAGAGTTATCCAAGTCTGACATTTAGAGTCTCAACTAGCTTTGCTAACCAGCAGATGGAGTAACAGTTACGTTACATAGTTCATGATGGTTCCAGTCCAAGACTCAGCTTAAAACATACTAGGTGCATGTACGTGCATGCCAAAAATCCCAAGAGGATAATGAAGGAGAAGGGACTGCGGCATGGCCATCCCCCACCCCTGGTGGGGAAGAGGGTGATTTTTCACTTTCTGTGTCTCTGACTCTCTGGAAAGTGCATGCACCCTATACAAAAATCCCTAAAAATAAATAAATAAATAAAATGCATGTCTAATTTGATCTCTAATGAAAGTTAGTCACTAGTGAAAAGAGAACAATACAATATGCTCATTGAGTAGTGCTAGAAGAGTAACAAGATACACAAAGTAACAGTAAATCAGTAGTACCCTATTTATACATGAAATTCAGCAAAACAATTACAAAGGAATAAAATGTACATGAGTATATACTCATACTACCTTTTTTTGGAGAGGTTTTTGCCACAGGGCGCCTGCGCTCGCCAGACAGATAGACAGAGACAGAGAGACAGAAAGCGAGAAATCACCCACCAGGGGGGATGGCCACGCCGCAATCCCTTCTCCTCCATTCTCCTCTCGGGATCTTGGGCACGCACGCACATGCATCCAGGATGAGTATTTAAGCTGCCAGGCCCAGGACTCGACCCATGGTCAACCATGTGGGAGTCCAGCAACATAACCATTACACCATCTCCTGGTCCCCCTCATAATACTTCCGTATTGCAAATATTTCCTAATTTCATACCCAGGAAACAAGATATAAACTTAAATTCTATTTGAAGTAATAGCAGGAAATCAGATCTATAAAAACATTGGTACATAGCGCTCGGCAGTAAAACACAACCTTCTACAAGATAGACTCACACAGGAGGGTTGCTGGTTTGCATCAAGACCTCTCAGAGTATGGTATGCCAGGCATATGCTGATGATCCGGGCTGGCTAAACCTGGGATGGACAGTAGCATCAGGATCTATCTCTGTCCCTCCCTTTCTTTCTCACTCATGGAATAAATTTTAAAAGTTATATTGGTATACACCTCATCCTATTTCTCCCCAACAGATAAACTACTTGTCACCTAAAAGTAAAGATGTTGTACATACTACTATGGATAATAAAAGTAACCTAGGGACCAGTCTGGTAGTCTAGTGGTTAAGGGAGCCCAGATTCCACATGACCAACCATGGTTCAATTCCCAGCTCTGACAGCTTGAAAAACACACCAAGTATGTTTAACATGTATGCCCAGAACCCTGGAAGGATAGAGAAAGGGAAGAAAAAAAGATTGCAGTGTGACTGTGCCCCACTGGGGGGAGTCCTTTCTCCCTCTTACCCTCACTCTCTGTCTTCCTGTCTCTACACCCTCTGATTAAAAAAAGAAAGTAATCTTGGGGCTGGCAGGCGGCCGGTGGTTAAGGACCCTGGACTCCCACATGGCTGACTATGGTTTGGGTCCCAAACCTGGCTGCTTGCTTTCTTGCTTTCCCTCTCTCTCTCTGTCCCTCTCTGGTCAAAATTAAGGAAAAAAGTAAATAAATAAATAAAAGTTAAATAAAATAATTCCTTCAAAAAAAGTAACCTAGAAAAACAATCATATGAGTCATAATTTATTTTTTAATTATTTATTTAACTTCATTTATTATTATTATTCAAGTTCGCTATAGTATGCATGTGCTCACCAGAGAAAGGCACAGAGAAAGAGAAAGTGAGAAAGCACCAGGTCTAGGACTTGAACCACAGGTACGGTAGTGCAGCACCTGAACCGCCAGGCCACCTGATGCCCCCAAGGCATAATGTATAACGCTGAAGGCCAACCCATAGCCTAGTGGGAGCCAAATCTAACATGACTGATCACAGTTCAAAACCTGGCCCCAGGGACCAGCAGTTAGCGTTATGGCTATGTCGCTGGACTCCAATGTAGTCGACCGCAGTTTGCATCCCGGACCCAGTAGCTTAAACTCACGCCAGGCGCATGTGCGTGCATGCCCAAGATCCTGAGAGGAGAATGGAGGAGAAGGGATTGTGGTGTGGCCATCCCCCCTGAGGGGTGATTTCTCCCTTTCTGTCTCTCTCTGTCTGTCTGGCAAGTGCACAGGCCCTATAGCAAAAAAAAAAAAAAACCTAATTTAAAAAAAAAAACCTGGCCCCGGTGGCTTGAGAAACACACCAGGTACACGTGTCTGAATACACAAAATCCAACAAAGAAATGGAAGAGAAGGGATAGCATGACCACACCCCAGTGGGGGGTGTTCTGTCCCTCTTTCTCTCTCTCTCTAGGGTGAGTGCAGGCAACTTCTGACAAAATGTCAAACATGTATGCATTCTAATAGGTGTAAAACTGTGGAATCAGAAAAGTATTCTTCTTTCACTGTTAAAGAGTATTCTTTCACTGTTAAGAATCCTCTCTGGAGCTAGCAGATGGCATGAAGGCTAAGACATTAGATCTCACATGGCCGACTGTGCAATTCAAATCCCAGACCCAGCAGCTTGAAAATCACACCAGGCGTATGTGTGCAGACGTCCCCAAAATCCCTAAAAGGGACTGAGACATTGCCATTCATTCACCCTAGGGGTGATTTCTTACACTGCCCCTCTCTGTCCTTCTCTGGCAAAGGCATGTACTCTATAGCCAAAAACAAAAAGACTCTTATCTGACTGATCTTGGAATTATTTCCCCAAAACAATCTCTCACAGTTTAGATACTACCTCCATGTTCGGCAAATCTGGGGTTCGAAAGGATTATCTTGCAAAACTTGAGGCCGTTTTTGTACTGCTTCTGTTCATAACATTTCTGTAAGGAAATATGAACAAAAGTTAATTTTATAAAATGGAGCAATTTTCACTGCATTGTACATGCAAATCCTAAACTCAAAATCCAAACTTGGTCTAAAACTTGTGACCAAGTTTTACATCAACTTATATTGCTTATAATATGAAGTGTATTTTCGTATGCTATAGGATCATCGATGCTACTCCTTGCTGAATTGTTCCAGGATCTGAGTATTTTCACTTTCACAGGTAATAGCAAAAAATACATTTAACAGAATGTGCCAACCAACATTCTAACAAAATTTAATTCAAAAGTACCAAGAAACAGTAGAAACCACACTAAAAGCCTTTGCTACTACAAGAATGAAACCAAGGCACACATGCATGCACACACACACACACACACACACACACACAACTTGTTTATTAAGCAACTACTATGTGCCTGAATGAAACCTGTTATAGCTCGTTTCTTTTGTTGTTGTTGTTGTTAAGTTTCTTTCTTAGAGAAAGACAGACAGACAGGCACCCTCAATAGGATCTCCATGCGGCAATCAATCCTCAGCCTCAGCAGCCTGGATTATGGGCAGCCCTACCTACCCGTTGTAGGTACAAGGAGACCCAGGGACACAAACACAGGCCTTTCGGAATTGTAGAGTGATGAATTACTGCCATCCTGTTTAATTCTTACAGTTCTTTAAGGTAGGTATTGTTATGCCCGCTTTACAAACATGAAAACTGGAAATAAACAGTTTAAAACACTTGTTTAAGCTTACCTGAAAACTCTGAGATGGTCTTGGGAAACCATGGTCTTTCCATCATTGGTCTAATACAAGCAGGAGTAACACCTTCCTACCTAACACCTCTCCTCGCAGCCACTGAGCACAAGGACACCTCATCTCTTTCCACACTCCCCTCACTTGAACAGTTCCGTCCAGCTGGGTGCTGTCCGACCCAGGCTCAACATGCCAAGCTTACCCCTAGGAACATCTCCACTGGCATTCCTTTAACCTGAGATGTTCCCCACATCTTCCTTTGGTGGATTCCTTCCTATGGATGTTCTCAGACAGCACTTCACCCACTTGACCACTCTGATACTGCCAGCCTCCTACGCTCTGCCACACACATATTCTTTATCGTATTAATCTGTTATTTTCTTTTTTTCATTTTTTTTTGGGGGGGGGGGGGAGGGGAGATTTTCTCTACAGGATGCGCCGCGCTCGCCAGACAGAGAGACTTAGAGACAGAAAGTGAGAAATCACCTCCCAGGGGGGATGGCCACGAAGCAATTCCCTCTCCTCCATTCTCCTCTCGGGATACTGGGCACGCACACACACGCGCCTGGCGTAAGTTTTAAGCCACCAGGTCCGGGACGCGAACCGTGGTCGACTAAGTCGGAGTCCAGCGACACAGCCATTACGCTAACTGCTGGTTCCCCTTAATCTGTTATTTTCCACACAAGGTGATTACCTCGAGATTCTTGTTAATCTATTAATCTTTGTCTTCTCCACTGTAATGAAAACTCCCTGGAAACAAAGATGGTGCCCACTTTTTTTTTTGAGAGGTTTTTGCTATAGGGCGCATGTGCTAGACAGACAGACAGAGACAAAGAGACAGAAAGCGAGAAATCACCCCCCAGGGAGGATGGCCACACCGCAATCCCTTCTCCTCCGTTCTCCTCTCGGGATCTTGGGCACGCATGCACACATGCCCGGTGTGAGTTTTAAGCCACAGGGTCCGGGACGCGAACCACAGTAGACTACATGGGAGTCCACCGACATAGCCATTACTGCTGGTCCCCAAGACGGTGCCCACTTTAAGCACTATCGCATCATCACTGCCAAACCAATAATGCTGCTCAATAAATAACAGTTAACGGTGCCAGCAGGAGGCCTGGTGGTTAAGGGCACTGGACTCCCACATGACCCATCACGGTTGAGTCCCAGACCAGTCTGCTTGCTTTCTCACTTTCCTTCTCTCTCTGTCCTTCTCTGGTAAATTAAGTAAAGATAAATAAAATACTTCTTTTAAATAATAATAATAAATAAATACAGTTCAAACCAAAAGGGCACTGGCAGTAGATGGGGATGTAACTCAACTTCGCAGCAGGAGCTGGCTATAGAGAGAAATGCTGCCTCCACGTACAGAACCAGGCAGTGGGCGCTTTAATCACTCAGCCAAGAGCCCTGCTGGAGAGCGTGACAACTTAGAAGACGCAGATCGAGTCCCCTCCTCAGTTGCCAAACGAGGTGTGTAAATACGGTACCCGCAGGCAGGGAGAGGGAGGAGGTGCCAGGGTGGGCCTTGCAGGTCTAGCTCGCGGTTCCCGCACCCGGCGCAGCGCAGAGCCCCACCGCCGGGTTCGCTCCCGCTTCCCGGGCACCGAGGTGCGCAACGCCGCGCGGCCTCCCCGCTAGGTCGCGCCCCGCCGCAGAGGGCACGGGAACCACCGGCAGACCAAAGCGGCTCTGCCCTCGCCTGCGGAGGGTGCTGGGAAGTTTCTGGAAAGAGCGCGGTGAGGGCGAGGCGGCCGCACGGGGAAGGCGGGTCCCGCGAGGTCCGAGGGAAA